ATCGGCGTGAAGTTGTTTGCGGCCTGCCAGTAAACCCAAAGCAGAAGAAGAAGAAGTGACGTCAGCGGCTTCATTTGCGTAACCCTCCCCCAGGGACTAATTCCGGTGTGAACGCGATCTGTACTTTAGTTCATGAGAACTAAAGAGTTCTCAGGAACCTTTGTGGGAAAAGTACTGCGGTGTGAAAGCGCCTATTGACACAACAGGACCAGAAAGAGACACGTAACCACCTAAAGACACAAAATGACTTCAAAGAGACTATGCAGAGACAGACAATGACTACAAAGACACTAAAGAACAATGAAAGACACGAGACAAGAGAAGTTGTATTCATCCTTTATTGAATCTTGAAAGAAGTCATCTACAGTGGTTTTGACGCCAACGAACAAGTCACTTATAAATGTGACCAGAGTCACGCAGAGACAGCAGAACTGCAGATGGAATATATCCTCGACAGACGCATAAAGCAGAGGCAAGATGCCACAAACGAGCATTAAATTAACTTAGTACAAACTCGTGAAAATGTTTTCCCTCCTTACTAATATCCAAACACAACATTCAGTACAGGGTTGTGTTTGTGTGGCAGCGACGCAGCGAGGTCTGAAAGGATGTCTGTTTGGAAGAGATTTCTTTAAAAGGCAGATGCTCCACACACACAACAGATAAATATAGAGCGCGACATGGACTCATTCCACCCTCAAAGACATGATGAAGAGTGGAATGATGAAGACGTAATCAACCTACACGCGTTAAATAAAAGGCTTTCAAGCTGGAGCCGAGCATCCTTTCAAACCTCGCCTGTGTGCCGCTTCAATCCGTACTTCTAAAGTGAGAGAGTGTGTGTGTGTGTGTGTGTGTGTGTGTGTGTGTGTGTGTGTGTGTGTGTGTGTGTGTAGTTTGGGGGATTGGACGAAAGTTTGGACGCCAAATCAGGCGCTTCTGCAGAGGGACATCAGTCCTAGCCCACCTGAAGATTCAAGGTTACGGGCCAGGACGTCACAAACAGCCCCAACACACACACACATATATCGAGTGTGTGTGTGTGTGTGTTGGTGCTCCTCTGAGAAGGACTGTTGGAGCCCAGGAGAAATCAGCAGAGTAACCCCGCTGTTCAGCAGGCTGCAGACTCATGTCATTCAGACTCATTTCACACTCTTCTCGCTCCGAGATGGACGCTGGTTTGTCCCGATGCTCAGCGGCTCTTTGAAGGGAGCGTTTGAGGGGGGGGGAGATGAGAGAGTGGGGGGTGTTTTGGGGAGTCTAACATGAGCGCAGCCCGCTAAACGAGCAGGGTTTAACCTCAGCAGCCGGCCGCGGTGATTTCTCCACCCGAGCTCTTCGTCACCTCCAGAGTGGTGAAGATCTGGAGGAGGAAGAGGAGAAACAACGTGAGGAAGAGCAGGATGTCAATAATTCATTCATTACACATTTATTTATTTAGCACCGTGCAACACAAGGCAATTCAAAGTGCTTTACAAAAATGAAAGACTTTAAGAAAATGGCATTTAAAAAGCAACGATGATAAAATAAACATTATAAGAAAAAAATACATGAATAAAAGTTACAGTAGAGCGCTTCATTACATATTCATGGGTGTATAATAAGAACTGGATACAGCGTGGTGGGAGGCGGGGTCTCGTTCTTTCCTATGAGAGCTGCTCATTGGCTCATGAAGGCAAAATGGCCCAACTTTTGAGAGCGAAACGTCACAGATTACCCAGCATGCCTGAGAAGTACCCGTATGGTATGTGCGCTCATAGCAGGCGCAACTTTAACCACGCCCCCCGAAAGGCTCGTTCACATCAAGCCGTCCCGTGGGTTAGATGCGCGTTCATGGTGCCGAGGAAAATAACTGAGAATAACGTTATTAGCACATTTTACAACTTGAAGACTGAATGTTTTTAATAAGGGCTTTACAAAAAAAATTCTGTATTTTCCTCAAAAATCTGATTTTTTCCAAATATTCTGTATTTTTCCCAAAATTGTCTTTTTCTCAAAATGTCTAAATTCTGTCTTTTTCTCAATTCAGACTTTTTCCTCAAAATAAAAAAAAATTGACTTTTTCTCAAAATCCTGTTTTTTTCCCACATTCTGTATTTTTCAAAAATGTCTGCATTTTTTCCAAAAAGAAAAAGATCGGACTTTTTGTTTTTAGTAAGGGCTATACAAATGTCCATACTGGGTAGTTAATTTGGTTAAAAAAAAATTATCCAGCGATTTACAGACGTCTCTTTCCCAATGTTAGTCAAAAGTGTTTCTGGGGCCCAGTGACGTCATGGACTGATACGGAAGTGTAGTACCGCCGTTTGGCCACTACGAATTGTGGGAACAGAGTCCGGAGCACTTCCTGGGGGCTTGAGCAAATTATGGTGGTCATCATTCAAGACTCAAAGCTTTATTGTCATGTACACAGCTACAGTGTAGATATGACAATGACAAACTTAAGTCCTAGGCTCCTCCAACAATCCCAAATCATCATCACCATCAAATTGAGATATGACAAATAAGGAAAAAAATGAAAATAAAAATCTACTTTGCAACACTTTAGAGCTTCTGATTGGACATCACGCTCCGTTGTTTAAAAATATAGTCTCTTAATGGATTATTAAACTAAGACGTGGGCACAGCTTGGTTACATTAACAGCGTCCTGCATTCATTCAAAAAGAAAGATCTGAATTCTGTTTGTAAATGTAAATTAAAGAAATGGGAAACATCAAACAAGAGACGATTAAGAGCTTAATGAGCTGCAATTATCACCAAACCCCATTTACATAATGAAGGAGGAACAGGGAGATCTTTAACAGCATGCATCACACATCACCAGTTCATTCAGCTCACTATCTGCATAAACACTCAACATGACAAATACAGACATGGTAATTCAGTCCATTTAAGGCTGAGCCACACGAGGACCATAACGCCAACGGACCGCAATCGTTATCAAAGAAGTCCGTGCGGCAGAGTTTCAGTTAGATTTTTTTCCGCCAGTCAACATGTCCGTTAAATCTTCCGGACAAAATTAGAAAAGTGCCGGTCAGAGGTCTTCTTTGTTATTAATTGAGCTTTAAAACAAATTGATAACGACTCTATATAATAATATAAGAATAAAACACGGAGCCTCTCTTTTCCTCCCCGTCTTCTGAGAGCCCAGCAGCTGATCTCTGAGCAGGAGAGGCGGGGCTATTACGTCAAAGTTATCAGCAAATTATCGTATAGGCGTAAACACAGAGCCGTTTGCCCCCCCAGAGCGTTTCGATCGACCCACCTTGGGACCCGTTACCGTTTTCTGCGTTTGTCGGCCTCGTGTGGCCGAACCGTCTATCTGATAGTGAACTGTAGCAGATACGACCGTTATCGTCCTCGTGTGGCCGGGACTTAAGTTATTTTGAGCTGCACAGTTTTATGGATTCTGATCAAATCTGTAATAACGAAATCATTTACACAGACTGAAAAACTAGCAAAGTGAGGCAGCTTCATGACCTTGGTTTTCACCACCAAATACAAATCTGTTTAACACTGCAAGGCACAAAAAGGACATCCCCATACACATCTACAGAGAGCAGGAGCTGAATACGCCTCTTGCTTCGCAGCTTGTATGAAAGCTGCTATACAAATAAAGATTATTGTTATGAGATAAAGAGATGCCTCCTCCTCACCTCGGCGCAGGTTGGGTGGATGCCGATAGTGTTGTCCAGCTGTTCTTTAGTGGCTCCACACTTCATGGCCGTACCGAAGCCCTGCGTCACCTCCCCGGCGTTCGGACCCAGGTAGTGGAAGCCAATGACACGGTCCTACAAACGAGACATGTGTTAGTCATGTGACTCTCTGACAGGTTGGATTCAGACTGAGTGACAGCAGGGAGGAGCTCACGTTGTCCAGCTTGTTGCAGATGATCTTAGCGTAGCACTTGTTGTTGTCTCTGTTGGGCACGGTGAACTCCAGAGGCCAGAACAGACTGTGGAACACCTGGAGACACAAGAGAGACCCAGTGAGCGACAGAGCTGCATTATTACCATCAGTACCGTTGATTATAGCATTCTGGCTTTTTCTCAAATTCTGACTTTTTCCTCAAAACCTTAAAATTCTGACTTTTTCCTCAAAATCTGAATTTCTGACTTTTTCCTCAAAATTCTGTATTTTTCAAAACTTTCTCAAAATTCCGACTTTTTCCTCAAAACCTTAAAATTCTGACTTTTTCCTCAAATTTCTGACTTTTTCCTGAAAAACCTTACAATTCTGACTTTTTCCTCAAAATCTGAAATTCTGACTTTTTCCTCAAAATCTCAACATTCTGTATTTTTCTCATTTTTTAAAACTTTCTCAAATTCTGACTTTTTCCTCAAAACCTTAAAATTCTGACTTTTTCCTCAAAATCTGAATTTCTGACTTTTTCCTCAAAATTCTGTATTTTTCAAAACTTTCTAAAAATTCTGACTTTTTCCTCAAAACCATAAAATTCTGACTTTTTCCTCAAATTTCTGTATTTTTCAAAACTCTCAAAATTCTAAATTTTTCCTCAAAACCTTAAAATTCTGACTATTTCCTCAGAGTCTAAAAAAATCAGACTTTTTCTCAACATCCTGAAATTCTCAAAATCCTCAAAAGTCTTACTTTTTCACAAAAATTATGTACTTTTCTCAAACTCAAACTTCCGGCACTTGTCACATGGTGTGGTTTGTTTGTATTTAGCCCACCTGTTTGCCAGTAATCAGCCTGACACAGAGGGTGAGCTCGGACATTTTCCGTTGACCGCCGTTTGGTTCTCTTTATAGTTTGTTTATGAGGGTCATTAAACATGGTTAAGCTAGAACTTCAGCACGGACTCTTTTAATTGAAACATGTCAAAGTACCGTAGCCTCTAGCGACAGCTCATTGGGAGTTGTCGCTACAAATTATTTAAGAAGGGGCAATACACATAAATTAATGTCAGCACTTGAGTCCATCATGTAAACGTGCCAGATGTATCCATAGAAGCACATTTCCATCTGCAGTCCTTTGTTGATGGCAGTGAAAGGAAACGCACGTGAGCACAGATTAAAAGTGTCCACATGGCGCCTTCTCCTGGCAGTTCTCTGTGAAGACGATATCTGGACATTGTATCTCCGCTGTTATATGACAGACCCTTTGGATTTTATTATCCGTTTGTAGTACAATACAAATGTTTGACACCATGAACAGTCATCCTAAGTTTCCGGCTCTCTGATTGAATTTTACACTTAGTCTGACAGCTATACAGCGAGGAAGACGATCCACGTATGGAGATAAAAGTCACAAACAGCATGCGCTCTGCTCTCATCAGAATCAATTGAAAACAGACGCTCAGTAAAAGGCGCTATGAGGACTTGCAATCTATCATGTCTTCAAAAAACAAAAAGGATAGCTTTTGTTGTTTCCCCACATCTCCAGTCTACTGTCTGGGTCAGAGGCTGGAGGGGTTCCTATTACAGAGACACTGTAATTATACACCGTATATTTTCTGTCTGGCACACTGACC